CACACACACACATATTTGTTTAATAATATAATATGTAATAAATAAAATAATTATATAAGGTATATGTTATATTATGATATATTATTTCTACTATAGTATATTTATAATAGTCACATACGCAAAGTAGTAGTATAGCTTAGAACATGTTAAAACAAAGAATAAAAATGCTTTATTAGTTTTGTAACAAATAATATTATTTGCAGCTTACAGCAACTATAACTTCACAAAAATGTAACGCAAATTTCATCATTAAGATTCTCTCTAATGTGTTTATTCTCTTAGGTGTCATTATAAAGTATAATTCTTTTATCGTTAATCGTAATACAATAAGTCGAATATGTCTTACAAGAGTACCTTACAAAGTACCTTATTTGTAATAGCACAACGATTGTGTGCAGATAGAGCGGATTATATTGAGTAAAAAAGTCCATTTTGCGATTTTCGCAATTAATAATGAATTAATTATTAATTATTAAAAGTCGAATAAACACGTATCCGTTTAGATCATTGGCAAACTGAGCATATCCAGCATTACACGCATTCGCAGTTGTTAAGAGCGCAACAAAACGAGGTGTGTACTAAAAACAGATGTTATGTCACTTGCAGACCTCACTTTTGGACATCTCGCCGCATTTTTAGTATCCACGAATACGTTTAACATTGAGCGATTGCATCTCGCTATCAACTTGCATATGCCATGCGCTGGACAAATACAAGGCTCATTCGGTAAATTATTAATAACTCATTGCTAATTGCGAAAATCGCAAAATAGTAAAGAACTTTTCTTCTCAGTTTGACTCTCTTTACTTGCATACAAACATTGTACTATTTCGAATCAGATATCCTGTGTGTTTGTTAATTTAATGATTATATCTAAATATTTAAGATCGTAAAATTTTATTTAAATTTTATTAATAATAATAATAGTATAACAACTTAGTAAAATTAATATTCAAACGATAGATAAGGCATTTGATGGAACAAATTAAACATATATATAAAGGTTTAAGAGATATTAATGAAATTGCCATTGTAGAAAGATATGGAAGTAATGTAAAATATTATACTAGTTCTCTTACAGGTAAGACATTATAAAATCATTTATATATTGAATTATACAGAACGTTATACTACTACATACATAACTAAACGTGTAAAATATAAGTAAAAGACACACACTTAATTAATGTTAACAATTTAAAATAACTTTAACTTTAACTTAACTTTTAACTAAAATAACCTTTCTCAAATATAACATGAAATCATGCTTTAACAAACATGATTAAATTAAGTCGAAATTTATGTCGATATTACATTAAGATACAAATTGACATTGGAAAGCATTTTATAACTTTATGAGTTTAAACACGTTAAAATAATCTTATATTAAATAAATAAATAAAACACAAAAACAAAAATCTGGTTATTAAAAATAATAAAAATATGATGATAACCTCTATATCAAAAAAAGTATTTTACATTTAATATGAAAAAGGTTTGCATGTAAAATATTTTGCATTCTATATAAATAATAAATTCATCTATGAAATAATAAATTTAGCGATCTCTCTTAAATTGTTTAAAATGTGTATTTTTAATTACCTATTTATAATGGTGTTACAGTACTTTTTGCTTCTAGCGTATCTGTTTTTCTAAGTGCATTATCATGGCCAGTTTTTTATGATATAATTTTACGTGCAAATGAGTCTCAACCACGTCACCTACAGATTCCAGTTGAATATTTTATTGATCAAGAAAGATATTTTTATTTACTTTTGTTACATTTAAATATAACTGTAGGTTTAGGATTTATCATAACATTAGCAACACTAACAATGCTCATTGCATATTATGAACATGCTTGCGGAATGTTTAAAATTGCTAGGTAAAGGAACTATATAAAAATGACAAAAAATTTTTTATTAGGAAAATTCTTCTGTTTCATATTTTTGAAGTTTTAACATTTGTTTTGATACAAATATAAAGTTTTAATTTATAAAATATGTATTAAAGTGTGTGTGCTGTATATGTATATAAAACATATAAGTAATTTAAATAATCAGATTATAAAAATAATAAATTCTTTATCTGCCGAATTTCTTGTAATGATATACGATATAATGTATATGAAACTGTTTATTATTTTAGCTTTAAAAATGGAATTTTGAAAGGACTAAAATATAAATACAAGAAAAGAAATATTTTTTATTACACAGCACATTCAATTTCTTCAATTTCTTAACTACCTGAGTTAAATATCAGTTATACAGGGTGTCCCATAGCACTGACATCATTCGTGAGCAGGTAAACTGAAACGAAATAAATCAAAATGTCTTATACCATTTTGCGATATTTACAATAATTTTTGTATTATTAAATATTAAAGTCGTACAAATAAAAGCGCACATAAGAACGCATTTAATAATACAAAAATTATCGCAAAATGGTTTAAGACATTTTGATTTATTTCGCTCCCGTTTACCTTCTCATGAGCGATGATATGAGTGCTTCGGGACACCCTGTATATATAAATTTGACAAAATTATTATCCTTTATGTTTTACACTTATACTTTGTCACATTTTTACATAAATTTATATATAATTATTCTTTATTAAATCATTTACAGTTATCGTATCGACAGAGCTATTTATATATTAAAAGATATCAGATTGCCAAATGAAATTTTAGTTTATAAAAATATAGTTTGTGCTGTAGATATACATCGTAAAGCTATGAGGTTTGTATCTGCATATTTTATATGCATATTTCATGCATATGAAATAATATCTGCTTGTTTTTTAAGATTTTCTATTTATTTAATATCCAAATTTGAAATATCATTCGGGGTTTTAATAGTGGTTGGTGTCACTTCTTTGAGTTTAAACATTTTTCGGGTGAGTCCTTTCTCTTATTTATAAATCCATTTAAATTATATTTCTTTTATTTTTCTTTCTTATGTTTCTTAGTAATATAATTATATTTTAAAATAAATTATTTTAATACTTACAATTAGATTAAAAAAGGTATATATCTAGAAAAACGGAGCCCCTCTTGACATATCAGTTATCAGGATCATTACTCCGTCTGATCTTGAAAAGGTTTTAGATGGCGGTCATTATAAAATTAGTAACAAAAAAAGTAAAGCATAAAGTGAACGATTTATTCATCAGTAAGTAACACACAATTAGTTATTTTTATAATATTATTTATTAAATGAATGCATTATTTTTATGCATTATTTATTAATCACGATATGATGAATAAAAACGAGCCAAAATATTAAAAAATGTATCAATATGTTCAAGAAACCTAACGTATATTGCGCTATGTGTACGTACTTTGGACAAAAACGCAAATTTTTTGCTTTAAAAACAAAAATCATTTTTTTATATAAAATAGAAGATTTGTATTTTAAAGTAGAGAATTTATGTTTTAAGACAGAGAATTTGTGTTTTTAAAACAAAAAGTTATTTGATATTTAAAATATATGTATTTTTTTATATAGATTGAAATTTAAATCTAACATTTCTTTAAAATATACATTGTAACAATACACATGGCTACGTCGTTGTCATCCAAATTCCTATAAATTTTAAAAAACATGTTACAAATATTTTATAACATATAATAACATTTTATAACATATAATTTAATTAATTTATTAATTATGGTTAATAAAATTATCTCATGATTTAAATAAACAAATCTGTCATGAATTTCGCGTTTCTGAATTTTTGTATATGCTTCTTTTAATGTGAATCATAAAAACGTCGTGCAAAAATTTTTTCAATATAGCATTTAAATACGCGAAATTAACCAGTATTATTCGTTATGATTTGTTTATGATAAATTATTGAAGAATAAATTAATTATTTTTTTCTTTATTTTTCTGTTAACGACTTTTTAACGAACAGTGATCGCCATTTAAAATCTTCTCAAGATCACTCAGAATAAACCCTGACAACATATGTCAAGATTAAAATCATTGGACAAGACTTCGTTTTTCTAAATATTTACCAAAATATTTGCAATATTTATTTAATAATATTGTTTATAGTATAATGCACTATTATAATGCACTATTATAATGCACAGTTATAATAAAATTTTTTCTTTTTATTCGCACGTTGCGTTTACATTATACATCAAAAAACTTTTCTGATAATAAATAAAAATATTTCTAATAATAAAGTATATTAGATTTTCCAGATCATATTATCCGAATACGACATTAAAGAATTTTTTATATGTCTTATATTTGTATTTATGTGTACTTTCTACATGTTCCTAGTCAACTTAGTTGGGCAACAAATTATAGATCACAATAATCACGTATTTATCACGGCGTAAGTAAATAATATATTTAATATTGTATCATATCTATTTATAAATTTAGTTAATAATAAAAAAATAAAAAATAATTTAACAAATCTTAAGATAGTGTACAGCAAATATATAAAATAGCATAAAAAGCACATAAAGATTTTTATTTTCGTTAAATTATTTGCATTGTTATTATATTTAGATACAAAATTCGATGGTATATAGCTCCCTTAAATATACAGAAAATGATACTGTTCCTGCTGCAAAGAGGTAATAAAAGTTTTGGTCTCACTGTGGGTGGATTATTTATAGCGTCATTAGAATGTTTTGCTACGGTACATATCATTTTACATATTATAAAAGATTAAAGATTTATTCCTTTCTTGGTGCAGCATAAAAACAAATACAATTTATTACAGTTAATAAGTGCATCCGTGTCCTATTTTACTGTTATGTTTTCAATGCAACAATAACAATGTAATATATCAATTGATATTGTGATGAAAAACAATGAGTGAAAAAAATCTATGATACAACATACCTCATAAAATAAAGTATATATTTTATGGAGCGTATATATATTACAATATCTGAAAGAAAAGAAATTTAAAAAATTATATAGTAATATAATCTAAATTATATAGTAATATGTATATCATATAGTAATATATCAATATGATTTAAAAAAAAGAAACGTACATATATATTTATATATTAATTTATATTTTAATTATGTGATAAATAAACTAAGCACTACGATTACTTCAAATATTATATTTCATTTGATCTAATAATTTTTTAACACTTTTGTACACGTTAATTTAACACGTATATTTATCATTTACTTATTTATATTTTAAATATTATTTCTTTGATTATCAATATTATTTTAATTTTTGGCACTATTTCTCTTATTATTTTGATAAACATTTTTGTATCTTTATGTATTGTTAATTCATATTCTTTTAAAAAAAAGTAATATAAGAATTAAGAAAATAGAAACGTACATAAATTACTTATGTAATGAGATAAAATCAGGTTACATACATTTATTATTGTAAAATATATGCTATATATTATAATATATGTTTGTATATGTGATAAAAGTGATGCTACATTTTTAAAAGATATACCTTTACTTAGTTTTTACTTGACAAACAATATGTAACATACGAATTAAAGTAAAACATATAGTTAAATGCCATTGAAATACTAATAATATGTTAGCACAACTTTTATTTTAAAACTTCTTTTACAGATAATATTTTAAATTATAAAAGTTTTAATTCTACTGTTATTTAAAATTACAAAACATTTATATAATTTTATGTAATTGCTTCTATAGAAAATGTTATTTGATATTTAAAATTAGTTTTGTATTTTTATTTATGATTGCACATAAATTAACATGTAACATGTAACAATTTTATGCCATATAACACATTGTTTATTTTGTTGAAATTCTGTTAAATAGTAATTATTGCAAATTACTATTAATATTGTTTTCTATTTTATTATAGGTATTTATATATTTAGAAAAAAATTTGAAAAGTTTTTCTATGAATCATGAATAACAATTCATTTACAGAAATTTATTTTAAGTAAAGTATTAAAAGACATGAAAAATCATTATTACATTAAAAACATTGGATAAATATTTTGTGCTAGATTAAGAGAATCGTATGATATGTATGTGCAATCTTATTACGTCTGTATTACAAAAGCTTTATATCTGTATGTATTCAATACTATATTGTCATATTTATTTGTTTTTTTCGTATAAAAGAAGATATATTTTAATAAAACATATGTATGTACATTAAATTAAAAATATTGGACAAATATTTAGCTTAAGAGATTAAGAGAGATGCATGATGTGTATGTCCAGTCTTATTATGTCTACATTGTGAAATTTTTATATCTCTCATCTCATGATACTGTCATCTTTCGAGATGTCTTTCTTTCATATAGAAGAAAGTATATACTAATAAAACACAAACAATGAAAATTATATTTTATTATGATTCCTTTAAAGAGATCTTTTTACTTAAACATATCTGAAATCCTGATTATCGTGATTATAGAAGATAAAAAATACTTTAAAACAATATATTTTTGAAAGCAATATGTTGATATGCAATGCTAAAATGAGCCGATAAAGTCTGGGCTAGCTCTACTACCACAGTTCTTCAAATAATGCTATAGTAATGCTATGAGAAAAGACCATCTGTTAAATTTCTTCGACGTTAAATCGATCGTTTAAATAGTAACTAAGTACTTTATATAACAATGTTAAATTGCGAGACGAAATATTACTCCGTATTTTACAATACTTTTATATATTATTTCTAATAATTCTGTAAATAGGATTCAATTACAGAAATTGACTTAAATTTGAATGCATCACTAAAATTTTGTTGTAGAGAAGAGAAAAATGTTAGATATTTTTGATCAATTGAACAATAAAGATATTCTTATCTTCGTTAATCTTGCTTTTGTTAAACTTTGTTGAAAAAGATGAATGTTGTAGATAGGTATTTCAGTTTAAATCGAATGTTTGTTGTTAATAATTGGCTTATGGCCTTATCAAAAATCAAAATTTTCTCAGCTTCAATTAATCTGCATCTTTAGCATTCTCATAACTTATGTTGTATTTCAGGTATGCTAATTCTAATGTTAGTAACATTGTATAAGATATCCTAAACGTATAAATTATTCTTCTAAGCAATGTACAATAATAATTTTTTTACTTACTTTAGAATTCTTATGTCTTTAAAAATGTTAATTG